GGGGTTCAGTTCCAGACCACCGCAATAAAAGGAGCACTGCGATAAAGTGAGCGGCAATCCCTGCTAGTGGAAGCTCTTGCCTTCAGTTTGTAAAAAACACATCTATGAAGAGCAATATAGCGAGGCATGCCTGTGCTCTCCCAGTCCCCCTCAGCCATGGTTGGTCTCCTGGGTCAGTCTCTAGATAATCAGCCTTCTCAACAGCCTTTCTATGTTCAGCCCTGACCATTCCCTTCCTTGCCTATTGCTGTACATGGCACCTCCAAGTCCAGGGTCTCCTGGAGCTTCTACAGTGGGTTCACCGCCTATTTTTTGTTAATCCTCACCCGAGGATACTTTTTTCCATGGACTTTTAAAGAGTGGAAAGAGGATGCGGGGGGGAAAGAGAGCGAGAGAGACAGAGAGAGAGAGAGAAAAACATTGATCGGTTGCCTCCCACACAGGCCCCAACTGGGGCCAGGGATCAAACCTGCAACCCAGGTATGTGCCCTTGACTGTGAATGGAATGCATGACCCTTTGGTGCACAGGCTGATGCTCTAACCACTGAGAACACTGGCCAGGGCAAGGTTCACCTCCTTTATCATGGGTCTCCCCTGCTGCAGGCCCTTGAAGTTGTAGCTTCCTTACTCCCTAGGTCACTTTCCCTCCTGAATGGGTTTCCCATCTTTCAGGGCTCTGGTCAGAATCACTCATCTGATGTGTCCCCTTCCTTCTAGCCCTGGGAATTTACTCATTTATTTCTGCTTTAGCGGGACCTTGGATGATAAAAGAAACAAATGCCCTTGATCCGTCTGCCACGTTTGACCAAAACCTTCCATTTTCTCATAAAATCTGTGTATCCATTCAGTGCATCTCCCAGCCCTGGGCACTGAGCTGAGTGCTGGAGAGATGAAGGAAGCTGAGACAGTTCACCTCTGAGAAGCAGGGAAAGGGGAAAGGATGTGCCTGGATAAAGCCTGCACGGTGACACGTACAGGGACAGTGCCAGCTTGAAGCGGTGCAGAGTGGAGGGATGTGACGAGCTCAGCCAGGGACCTGTGGAAGGCCGTGCTGAGTAAATGAAAATGCTGTGGCTTCATGAACTCAACCGTGGGGGGAACACCGCACCCAGACTGTGCCCTTTAATTATTACCAAGTGAGTCCAAAGAAAAGTGGTGCATCCAGCCCAGATCTTAGCACTCACTGCGCTGGCTGGGTGGGCCTATGCCCCTCCAGGGTCTTCCAGGGCTGGAAACCGCCCACTGCGCCCCACCCACAGCCGCTCAGGCCTCTCACGGTTGCCTAGCACACTCAGAAAAGAGTCTGGCCTTGGGAAGATGGAGAATGTGCAGAGAGGCCTTCTCAGGGTGTGTGACATCACATCTTCCCCTCACCGCCCTCTCAGCCTGCGAACAGCTGACGGCTGATAGAGGCCTCATCAGTGTTGAGAACTACTACCGCTGATTCCTGACTTTCTTATAAGGAATTCCGCGTATATAAAATCCCAGCCATGTAGACTAGCTGCAGCGTAGTCAAAGCCCATGAGCTCATCAATTAGCCTCCGTTAACCCCGCAAGCAACCTTGGTATTGTTTCCATTTAGGCTTGAAGATAGCACCAGAAAAGGTTCAACGTATGTCACAAATTCAGACACTCGGCTGCCACTAGTTCTCAGTGCCACAGCACAGCTGATGAACAGGGCCTTACTGATGGAACGAGGTGGTCCATGCAATTGCCCCTCCTTGGTCCTGTTGCAATTCCAGCTCCTATGGAGAAGGATCTGAATGTTGTCCTTTCCTTATTTCTGTCACCTGCCTCACCTTCTTTGCCACTCGAGACGCTGTGGGAACTACAGAAACCTTCCACTTTGTGCCTGTGCCTGGTCTGTACTGTATAGTGGCATGTCCAAGCTATGACCCTGAGGTGGGAATGATAGAGGAATAGCTCTGCAGTAAGGACCGTCCTTGAGAGGACGCTGTCTTTTTACAAACTCTGAAGGAAGCTCATAGGTTTTTATCGCTTGGGTATTTTCAAATACATTTTAATGTTTGAATTATCTTAGCCCTCAGTCGTCTTGAACTCTGTGTGTGTGCAAGCAGTGGTATGAGGCAGAGAACAGTAATCTCTCGGTGTGTTTTGGGGTATCCCCCAACCTGCTGAAAAGGTTTGGGTTATCTTCCTGCCTCCTAATGATATAAAAGTGGCAGAGTCGTATGTGTGTCTGAAGACAGCAGCCACGTTATAGAAATGCTTGCGTTCTTGCCAGTCACCAGCCTAAGGAGCGTCACGTGGCTATGAAAATCCAAGTGTTTCTGTCCCCCAGATCCTTTACTGAGACGGATTATATCTCTGGGCGATGGCAGCCAACGTTCCAGTTTCATATTTTTATTGGTGTCGTAAACAAGCAGGCCAGAGAAATATCTGGGAGGTTGCATGCAACAGACACAGCAATTCATATCATGTTTCTTTGTGGAGCAACTTCTATGTGAAAAACTTCTCAGCGGCGCAGCACATGGTATACGGATGTCCTCACTGAGCTCAGTACTGGCCGGTGGGTGGTGCTGTGCCCAGTTTATGCTGGTAACGTGCATCGGGCCTTCCTGAGAAGTGTGTCGCCGTCCTGCTGTGACAATCCTAGTCTCGTCCCAGCGCGTTTTTAGCCTCAGTTACTTTTCGGTCAGGAAGAGGGAAATCATGGAGGCAGCCGTTATACTCATAGCGAATGTGAAGGGTTCAGTGGCGAAATTAAAGCCATAAAATGGTGAGTCAGGGTCACCACAAACCAGTCAGCCGGGAAGCGCGGCGGGGCCCTGATTAGCGCCGTGCAGGCCTGTCCAGATCTGTGGGCACCGAGTGCCTCATTGCGCTTTAAGGACTCAAAGCTTTAATGGATGTTCCAAAGGTTGCCCAAGGAAACATCTAATGTGAAAAAGATGTTTTAGGCCTGGTGACGTCTGTCTGGAAGTTCTGCTTCCCTGTCGGTTACCAGAGCCTGCCTTCTAGAAACAGAGGAGAGTCCTGCCTGAGGTGCTTCCAGGTGGTCTCTTTGTCTTGGAGAGGTTGGCATTTAGAAGCTCCTGGAAGTCCATTTCACCACTCATCACATCAGGGCACGTGAGCCTCCGTCTAGCAGAGGTCATGGGAAGGCGGTGAAACAAAGTAAGAAAACATCTCAAAACCTTGCTTTGCAAATAGAAGGCAAACATTCTTGATTCTCTGAGAAGCAATATTACAAGACGCAGTTTGTGTGACTATCAGTGGCCAACACCCTTTTTTTGAGCGTCAGACCTGTAGAATTTTGTATAAGGTACTTTCCGCCCCTTTTCCAAAGAATACTGGACTGTGCAGAAGAAAAGAGCAATACAAATTGTGTGTGTGTGCCCTACACACACACACACACACACACACACATACACACACACACACACACTAATAAAAGAAAAATAAAAGTTAAGGCAGCTTAGGGAGGTAGTATTGGAAAGTTTTCAAAAATGATATAATCTGGAAACCAAGGAAAGCTTTAGGAGATGGTTTGTGGGAATGCTGTCAGCCTGGGCGTCAGTTACCAAAATACAGGCAAGAGTGGAAGACACAGAAATGTTGATTGGCCTCTTGACTCTTTTCCCCTTTATGCGCATGTTTTAGACTCGGAACGGTATTCTTTTCTGTCAAAATAACTTCCCTTATGTAATCCTGCACCGATGCCTCTCTGAAGGAGTGAGTTTTAGGGATCAGGCTCAGGCCCCCGTCTCAAAAGCTAGGCGCCTCAGTCTGTTCCTGAACTTGAAGCAGAATGGCTCTGAGTTCTCGATGTTTCCCACACAGACATTTGCTGTCATCACCGTGTTCTTTCTCGTCTCCCCCCTTTCTTTTCATTTCGTGGTTTTCATCTCCGATCTCTTGTGTCGCACTTCATTAAGCGCCTAGAAAGACCTTGCACGGTCTGCCTGTCAGTCGCCACTTGCGCACGTGGCCTGCCCAGCGCTCCAACGGACTGTTTTAGGGATAAAACGCCTTCCCCTGGTGAGCGTCTTTCCACTGCCTCTCCTCCCGTGAGCACGAGCGATGTGCACAAAACCTTCCTCTGGGACACGAGGACATGCTTTGGGGCTCCGGCAGACTCGGATGAGCGGGAGTCAGGGCTGTGTTTGGAAACCACCTTTCCCTCCAGGAGTGCTGTCGTGTATTTGGAGAACCACACGTGTAGTTGTGGCCAGTGATCTACGAACTGTCTCAGTTGCGGCGTGGTCCTCGTAGGAGGGAGAGGACATGCTGGCTTACTACCTGTTCTCACTTGTGCTGTCAAAACCTTGAGCCCGGCTGGCGTGGCTCAGGGCTTGAGCATTGACCCAGGAACCAAGAGATCACAGTTCGATTCCCCGTCAGGGCACAGGCCTGGCTTGCGGGCTGATCCCCAGTAGGGGGTGTGCAGGAGGCAGCCGATCGATGGTGTTTCTTTCTCCCTTCCTCTCTCTCTCAAATTCAATAAAAACATATTTTTTTAAAAAAAAAGGCCTTGAGACTCGACTTGATGGAGCCACTCAGAGAATCTTTGTCTCTTGTTTCCGACGTTGGCTCTCAAGGACCTGCAGATGGCAAAGACCCAGGCAGCAGGGTTTCTGAAATCCTTGGCACAGGAAAAACAATGGCGTGAACGTGACATTATCAACACACCAGGAGTAGATTTGCTACCACTGTCCAGTTTCAGGCCGGCCATGGGAAAGCCTTGAAAATTGATTTTTGTGCTGTCGTTTCTGCCACCGTGCCCCGCGCCACTGTGTCTGCGCCCTGCCCATCCCCCGTTGGTGCACTTGGGAGTTAGGGGTGGATGTGACATCTCCCACATGCCGCAAACACTTCCGTACGAAGGTGCTGGAAACGACATCTGTCATTGCATCAAAGACGGTGCGACTGCCAAGTGCAGCTGGAGGAGTTCTAACAATGAGCTGGTTTTCAACGAGGTTCTAGTGAGAAGAAATCTGTGTGCAGACCGAACCTTTTTCTAAGGAAACACAAATGTGCTCCTTTCCCGCCCATCTTACTGCATAAACATTGTTTTTGCATATGTAGCACAATCGTGTCTCTCCATGAAAAGCCGTGAAGACCTTTCTAGCTGTGAAGGTGTTTTTTGGGCGCTGTGTTGGAGAAGCAGCTTTATTCAAGGTTGCTAGGGTGTTGAATTCTGTCTCTTGGGGAGGGACAGCCCTCTGGTGAATGTGGCATTTGTGGATCCCAAACCAGTGTGAGAATTTCTGATCGAGAGTCTAGAAAAGTTATAATAAAGTCATTCCACAATTAAAAAGAAGAGCTGCCCTCCAGGACATGAATCCCCATCCAGAAAAGCATTCAGCAAACAAGAGCAATGCTCTGTAGATTTTTCAAATTGATGGTGCTTTCCAATGGCAACTAATTTGTTCCAGCCTTGAAGTGAGCATAATTAACAGAGACTTTCTTTCTTAGGCCGATTAACCACCAAAAACCATGCCAACATTGTAACTGTAAGCAGTGAAAACCAATATTTATGAGGGGGATTGTGCAAGAGTTTGCGTGACAGATGGACATTTTATCACTGTTGATGTTTGGAATTCCCTTGAACAGTAATGCAATATCTTGTTATTTATGAATGAATGGACAAACGATTGTGCTTTGCCGAGTTCTCTTTAAAAAGAGGTCTACTAAATTAATCGTTTTCTCTGTCTAGCCTCTATTACTTTATGTTAGGTAGGCTCGTATATCCTGATGCAAAAGCTGAAAATCATAATTGTGTTTTTATTACAGATACAGATCCACGTGTTTTAGAAAAACAAGAATTACAGCAGCCAACCTATGTTGCCCTCAGTTACATTAATAGGTAAGCCATTTTCAGAATTTATAGCAACCTCATCGCTGCCACATGTTTATTTTTTTAAATGTATCTTTTTAACAGAGTAGAAAAAAAGGTTTTCAGTTTTAAAATATATACAGGAGATTATTGAAAATCAACCTTTATGTGGAATGTTCTTGTTTCTCTGGTGGGGAGATGTAGGAGGTAGTTCTCTGTGCACACGGCTGAAACATGACTGATTTATATGCTCATTCTGGAACTATTTTGTATGCAGAGTTAGAATATACTCTTTGGACTTCATAGGGCAGTTTGGGAGATTAATGGATTTATGTTTGAGTGAAACTTTTAAACGCTGGGGCAAAGAGGTACTTTATGAATTCAGGACGTTGTTGGAATATCAGAATATATCAGGATATAACACACTGAAATAATTCAGCATCAGAAAGTTATTTAGGAGAAGCTCACCTTTGAGTAAAACCATTCTCGACAGCTGACCTGCACTATGTAGATTGTAGAGCATCGTGAGTTTTTACTGAAAGTGAAGGTGTGAGCACGAGTTTCGAGAAGAGTTAGAACTCGGTCTGTTGGGCCTGAGAGAGGACTTGGTGTTTCAGCAGCTTAAATAATTCAAGGAGACAGTGATTTTTGGAGAGGACCTGAAATCAGCTTACGTTAAGAAAACTGACACCCCTGAAGAGAGAGAAAGCAAAAGCAAACTAGTTTTTAATGAGAACGACAAATTCTGTTTGTAATTCAGTGGTGACTTCCTATTGACTGTCCCTTGTTTATTTACAGTGAAGAGTGTGTTTTCTGTCTGTTGGTACCAGAGCTGAGGGTCAGGGTCAGACGTGAAAGCTGGGAATGAGTTATTTGTACTGTTTCATTTTAATGTCCTTTTAGAAAATGGACTTCAGTCTTGTGTAGAGGGAGTTTTGAATGGGAGTTGACTGCGCTGTTTCAAACTCTTGTATGAAGCATGGTTTTTAAAGGATTTATTAACATAAACATCTATTTGCACATCTCTGTTGTATTTCCTACTTACTGGCCTCCCCTGAAAGTGAGAGAAAAGATCTACAGTTTATCACGACCCATAATTTTTGAGATGTTTAAAGTAGAACGCCTTTGAAATCACATTGGATGCAAATAAAGATGTATATGCTTATCTGGATTACTCACAAAACCTGTTATTTCCAGCGATTTAGCGTGGGTTTGGAAAAGTCTTTAATTATACATTAGAATTATGTGAATGTTAATTAGCCTGCTAATATCGAGGGATAGGATGACTAGGCTCATAGAATAACTGTGGTATTGAGTAGGACTTTTTAATGCTATGGCTATTGCGTATTGGGTCAAATATGTTACCTGGCTATATACAACTTCGAGTGATACTAAGCCTTGTTCTGATAAGAGGCTGAGGTTTCACATTCATTCTTCCTGCTTGGATTGTCAGCCATGCTGGCAGAAGGATCTGTTCATTACACAGGTGTTGTACTCACTAAAGAAAGAAATATCCTGCCAGGTGTGACCTGGGACTGCAGAAAGAGCTGAAAGGGACAGGAGCCACACACACAAAACCACCAGAGAACTTGAATCACTGGTGACAGTTTAGCATAAACTGTGCAGTGGGATATGCCCGAATCCTAGAGAGTTGGCGAGATCAGTGGATGTGAGGTTTCTTGGATGAGTCTTCTGGGAGAAAATGAGTCATTTTTTAAAATAATATTTTATTATTACAGCCGTACAGCATTATTACAGCATTGTAGAAAATTAGAAAGTATAATCAAACAAAAACTTTTTAAATTCAAACATCACATTCCCACCACCCCCATATGACTACTGATAACGCCTTAACACATTTCTCAGATTATCTTTTAAAAAATACATAGATAATTTTTAACCAAAAGCTGCCATCCTGTTTTGCAATCTACTCTTTAGTCACTGATCTGTTTTTCCATTTCAGTACACTTGAATCTAATCTATGTCTAATCCAGATCATAGTTAGATCTTCCCAGATGATCTGAATAAATCCTTTATAGCTGTTTGTCTCATCCAGTGTCCAACCGAAAACCTCGCACGGCACCTGGGCGTTTTGCCCCTCGTTTCCTTTCATCTGGCACAGTCCCTTCTGTTGCCAGTGACCTGTTGAAGAGATGGGCCAGGTGTCCCACAGAAGGCTCCCACCTGCTGGGTTTTCTTCTGGTAGCTCCTCAAGCTGTCACGTGATGTGTCTTCCACTTTCTGTATTTATTATAAACTAGAATTTGCCTCTGGAGAAGACACATCTTGAAGCGGACACATCATTGTATTTAGAGACCTGAGGAAACAGAACTTATCCCGTCTCATCCTGGCCGCTAGAGGAGCGGACGTGTGTGGGCCACCAGCGCGTCGGCTGGTGGTTTGCAGACGAGAGAACTGTGTGGAAGGTCCCCAGGTTCTAACAACCCTCCTCTCCGGGACCCCTTTCTGGACGGTGCCACATGTATAACACAGTGTTTGACACAAGGTGGACACTCTAGGTGTGTGTGTGGATGTAAATAAACACCTAGGAAACAGGAGAGGGCAGGGCAATGGTCAGCAGCTCGGAGGAGGCCGCATCTGGCCACAGGGAAGCTTTTATAAAAGGCATCACGTTGGGGCCTTAGTCTCCAAAGGGACCCGTCGAAAGTCACACGAAGCCAGTACGGATTCAAGAAGAGACAAATATGGGTTAAAATGTGAAAGAAAGTCAGCTTGACAGCAATATCCTGACTTCAGCAGAAAAGAGGACTAAAAAAAAAAGTTGAACAAATAAAAGATTTTTTTTCCTTAAACCTCAGGGGAAAATAAAGTCTAATTTTGCTGAGCAGTGAAGGCAGGAAAAGAATTAATATTTCGCTGCTCATATATCTATTTGTCCAACTCTAATGGACTTTTGGGCATGTCAAAATTGAGAAACCTCCTTTGGCAATAACAGAGTTGGGATCCTTAAAATGGAGCTAGCTTTTTGGATTATAAAAAGAAAAGAATTGAGTAGAAATGGGAGCCTTTATTTATATCTTTTTAATATTGCTTCACTCTCTGGAATATAATGTGCTGAATAAACCTTTAATTCCTTTAAAAATACATCTGTTACAATACCTGAGCAAATTTTAAAATAGAAATAGTTTAATGAGAATGAGGGAGACTGAATGAGTGAAGGTGTGGGAACAGTTCTGCAGAAAAAAGATGGATATAAATTTTAAGGATGGGAAGTTCTATTAATTTTGTGACTTGAACAATGACAAGTCTATGTAATGGGAAATGTAATTGCTTAGTCTGTATATTATTTATACATCTGGAAAATAAAGTGTAATGGGCAAGAAGAAAAGCTAGATTTTGAATGAAAGAGAATATAGAAATAACACTAGAAAAAGCAAAAAATAACACTCTGATGCCTTGTGCTCTATGCTAAGCATTTTTACTTTGCTGTTTCATTTAATCTTGACGGTAACCATATGAAGGAGGTACTATAATCTCTATTTTACAGGTGCAGAAGTTAAGACTCAGAAGTTAAATAACTTGCCCTAGTTCCCCAGGTGGCACTCCAGGGGTGTACTGGGTTCAAACCTGCCTAGTTAGGCTCCAGGATCTGTGTTCCTAATCTTTCATAATCTGGCCTGTTGGGATATCAGAGAATAAAGTTAGTGGTTTAGAAAAGTAAGAGGAGAATTTGGAAAACTAATGTTGGAAAAATAGGGTAGGACAGCTGAGCTGAGGGGACACATACAAAAACAAGAGTAATTACCATGCTGTAGATAATTGGAGGGTAGCAACCTAATAAAATGAAACAGTAGGAGACAGAAGAAGCTAAAAATGTTATAAGAGGTGACCAGTAGCTCCTAAATGATATATCGCCACTAGGAAATGGGTGTGCAAGGCACATCCTAGCTTAGCAGGCCTCGGCTCTGGTAGGAAAGGATGCCTTAGGGCCTTAGATGAGGATCAGGGCAGAGCACATGAGTGCCCGGGAAGCTGCCTCCCACCCCTCCTCGCCTAACAGGCAGGCGATGGGCGAGCTGCAGAGTGAAGTCAGTTGAGTCTCCGTAAGAAGGTTGACCAGAAGCCCTAGGCTACAGCTGGATATTTCCTTCAGGTTATTATGATGTAGTTCAGGTGACAAGATAGCTTATTAATAACTTATGCCCCAGAAATGGATAACTGAGATGATTTAAAGATATAATAACATACATGGTCATGGCCATTAATTAAACTGTCTTCTCTACAAAATGTTCTTATTAAAATAATACAAGTTGATGTTTCCAAATTAACTTTAATTTTTAAAATATGTATATCATTTTTGTATAAGCTGTAAAGGAATATCATGCCTAGGCACAAACTGCTACCTCCTTGCTCCCAATCCTTGTCATTTACTACCTAATAAAAATTTAATATTCTCTTATACCTAAACTACAGCTCTACGCAAACTCCCCTCACTGCCTGGCATGGTAGCAGTTAGGTTTGACCTAAAAATGGATTTTTATTTAACCTAGTGTTTGCTATTAAAGTTAAACAGCAAATTCTAAAATAGGTTTCGTAGAGCAGTAGTTCCAAGGGGTATTCACCAGTTTCTCTCTCTTACACTCTCTCTCTCTCTCTCTCTCTCTCTCTCTCTCTCTCACTCACACACACACACACACACACACACACACACACACCCCACCCCCGAGTTACCCCAGAAGGGTTCTTTGGTCGATTAAGTTTGGGAAATCCAGGGTTAAATAAATGGGTTTCTTTACCACAGGATTTGTCAGATCCTCTCCTATGCTGATGTGCACGTTACATCTCCAGAACGGATAATGTAATTCCCATACGTACCTGACCCCAGAGCACTTTGCTCGAAGCTTCTGACGGGACTAGTTCTGCGTGTACCAGTTGGGCGTTGCTAGAATATCTCTCTTCCCCCACATCCTCAACTCCCCCAGGAACCCTGAGCTTCTCTTCCTCTTCTGATTCCAATGCAGAACTCTCTTTTTTTCTCATGGTCAGAATTGTGCCTTGATCTGCTAATT